GCATGGCCACGTGGGAGGATGGAGTCCCCATGACCTCTCAACACTGAGCTCAGAAAGGTGAAGGCAAAAACAAGTGACCAGCTAGCCAAGGAGAGGATGGACACACAAGTCCCACATGCAGAGCTTCCCAAGGGAAAGGCTGTGGACAGGCAGGAAACAGGGCCGAGCCTGGACAGAGGAGAAGGACATGGTGTGCAGAAGCCATGAGTGAGCTGGACGTGGCCAGAGTTGGGTCTCATCCTAAGGCTCCCCTCCCCTCCTTTCTASTAGCCAGCTTCTGAGAGACTAACAGCCCATAAATCAGGCTTATTAATCCTGTAAAGAGGCTTGCTGTGTAATCTTTGTGGTAATTTAGGGGGTCATACAATTAAAGTGAATATCGCTTACTTTATAAAGAAATACAACTGCAAATTGTGAGCAGATGGTAATCATTTTGGGGACAGTAGTGATGACAAGACGATAACAGACTTTAATCAAAATTGTGTTGGAATATCACATGACTTGCTTTGCTATAATATTCGTATACTACAATTTCCAGTATTGAACTGAATCACTGATTGATGGTTGACATAAACTAAACAAAAACAAGGATCATGCTTTCCCTTGAGGTGTGAAAAATTCATGACATCAGATAAACAAGGTATTCGAAGGTGTTCCCCAAGTATTTTTTTTAATCAAGTGCTTACTAAACATTAGTAATTTATCATTTCTGATTGGCTAGCATTCAACATTAGCAATTTGGTAGTTTTGCTATGATAAAATAGTATTCTCATACCATCCTTTTCAATGTTTATTTTTGTTACATAACTATATCTAGAAAAATATCATAATTATGGATACTTTTGATCATTTTGATTGTTCAATGTGTTTAGCGTGTCTAAGTGCAATGCAGTGTCTAAGTAACAGAAGAGATGGTGGAGCCTACCTCCCTGGTTGCTATAAAGATAAGTCAGCACCTGTAAGGCACATACCCACCGAAAATCCATCCTCTGGTCACTCTCCTAAGCCTTATTACATTCATCCCTTTTTCTTCCTAATTCTATTATCAACACATACTAGCCATTCGAAAACCTTCAAAGCAATTTTGTCAGACCTTAAGTGCAAACTTCTGTAACAGATAATGTGTTGCACCAAAGCCTCAAAGCCTAGAGCCTGAAGTAAAGCAAGTAAATAAGGGAATCTACCAAACCTACAAGAACTTGAGGGAAATCACAGCTGGCAGCTTTTCCACACAAGCAAAGGCCTTCAGAGCCAACGCATGAAGAGAGAACCACCTCTGACACTAAGTCCCCATGAAACTGATAATGGGATTTGTAGAAAGGGAGAAAACTCACAGCAGTTAATTCAGTCTCTGCAAGGTATCACTGTGGAAATGAAGGGCCAAGAGCTCAGCAGGTTAGAAAAAGAAAGGATTTAATTATCTGACACTTTTGCTATTACAGTGTAATTCTGTTAAAACAGAATTGCACCTAAATAGAGCCATTTACTTATTCAAAGCACAAACACAACTATCTTTAATGGGATCATTAAAAGAAGGTGTGATACCTTGCAGAAAAGCTTCTCAGAAACTGTAAGAGATTGCAAAGGTTGGTTTTTAAATTCTAAATAAACCCGTAAATAATAGTATACTTGAAGAGATTTTGTCAAGGCAAAAAAAAAAAAATACTGATAACTTTCTGAAAAGAACAATAAATAGAATCACAGGGATTTAAAAAGTCATAAAATTAAAAAGAGCATTGAACAATATAAACTGTCAAATACCAGCAATAATCTTAGAATCAATGTATTTTGTCTTAGCACTATAGAGACATACAATTTTTAAAACTTGATATTTCCTTAATGATCAATWTTAGATTTATTGACAAAAAATAGAGCTTATTAAGTATTTAGTATCTTTTTAACAACCTAAATGTAGTTTGAAATTAGTATGAAATGAGCCAAAGTTATCAGGAATGAAATTTTTGTTTGATGATTGATAATAGGCAGAATCATTTAGCAATATTTCCATCCAATTCTCCCCACCTGAGGGCCTCAGGTACTTTTTGCTGACTTGGAACCAGCAAGGAGCTATTAATAAGCAGATTAGCATACAAAAGGAAATGAGACACCCTGAGAACTTTACACCTTGCCTTGCCATGCCTGGTGACGGGAGTCTGTCAAAGATTTCACAACCCCTGGTTCTTGTGATTAAAAATGATTCTAGAGTTTGGATTTCCTAGCTTGAGCTTAAACAAGCCGGGTAGGTAGTTAATTAGAAATGTCACCCATAAGATAAAAGGAAACCACAGTTTTCATAGTATTCTAGTAGAAAATAAGATTTATTAAGGTGTGCTTTTCAGAAACTAGATAGTTCTTTACAAATTTGAGTTGCAAAATACGGCACTTTCTCCTTTTTATCACAATAGTATAGTGCTTAAGAAGCCAACTTAAGGAACGTACAACTCATTTTTAAAAAATCCTCTTAAATGCTTATGCCTTATAATCTTGAACAGCAATTTACCATATCTATTTGCACTTAGTTTGGCAAACATGTATTGCATGTACGAGCTATGGTGCCAAAATATTTTTAAGGCCTATCAGTCATTCAGTTAATCATTTCAGCAAACAGTGTTTAAGGATTGTCTGGTGCCAGGGCCAACTCTAGTGCCAGGAGCTGAACACACTAAGACACAGGACCTGCCTTCCAGGTGTGCACAGGCCTAGAGGAGGAGAGGAGTGCATAACACATCCTCCAAAGGACATCTTTGTGACAGGAATTCAGATAGATAAGTAATAAGTGTGTTCAGGATCAGAAGAGCTACACATTACCCAGGACCAGAAAGACTCCCATGGGGAGTTGACTCTAAAGTGACAAAAGTAGTGTAGTTTGAAAGAGGAACAAGAGTTTTTCAGACAAAGGACATTGTCTGTCTTTACCCGTTCTTGGACTGTAAGAAAAAAAGGTATGAGAAGAAATAAATGTTCAGGGATTAGGGAAACAGGCAGGTACACAGCAAAGTACAGTGAGGACGGGTCAGAGCCATGACTTTTACGTACTACGAAGTGGAGACGTTATTCTCAAAAGGAAGGGGACATGCTGATGGGCTTCAATTGAAGGTGAAGATTTCAGATTTTCACCAACCAGGACATCCTTAATGTTCCCCTCAGCTAAACTTCAGACTGGGTTCTGACCAGAGGCCCCTGACCCCTTGTTTCTAATAACATGTGCCTTAGCAAACTTCCAAACGTCAATTATYTTTACATCCTTTTGAGATGTAGATCATTTCCCTGCCTCTTGCCAGTTTTATAACCCTGCAATTAAAAATGGGTGAAAGATCTGAACAATCATGAATACTTACGAAATGAAACACATTTCAAACTTTGCAAGGAATCATCTTTTTGAAAAGTAAACATAACAAAAGATTGAGCCACTGTCTCCAGGTCTCTGTGGTAGAGCAGGAGCCTGACTAATTGCTGGTAACAAGAGGTGAGCAGCAACACGGACGTCGTAATTACACTGAACAGCCCTTCACCTCCAACATCCTGCAGTACTTTTCTAGCAGCTCACCCCAGTGCTTACAAAATCTCCCACCCTTTTCTTCATTAAAGCTGCAGAAATATCTTTGGCAGCGATATGGGAGATACATGGATGGGAGACAAGGTGAATGGCCAGAGGATGAATCAGGAAGCTACTGCAGTGTGTGAAGTCAGCAACAGTGAAGTGTGGGATAAAGGAATAGCAGAAAAGGACAGAAGAGAAAAATATGAGAGGGATGTTAAGTTAAACAATCAACTTTTTCATGATCCAATGATTGGCCAGACGATAAAGGAGCAAGGATGATCACAGACATGTTATGTGGCCCCTCCTTGCATGTYGTTGTGATGGACTTGTGGCCTGCTGAGCTGGAGGGAGTGTGAGAGAGCAGAGAAGGCAGCAGAGAGAAATGGACTGTGTAAAATTAAGGACATTGTAATGATGGAGTGGAAGGACCACTTATGCACTYTTGTAACACCTACAAAGACAGAAAAGGCTCCTGAGTTGGACTGTATTGCAAACAGAATTGGGGGAAGAATATGGTGGTGGCTGGAGAACAGAGGAAGGAGGAACAGGAATGCTGTACCTCCCAGACGTCCAGCCAAAGCCCAGACTGCAACCCCTCAGGAGTCGTGTCAGTGACAGCTCCTTCTCTTTTTYCTTTTCAAAGTATCTGCACAGAATGCATGATGAATGGGGAAGCAGAAACAAGCAAGAAAAACCCAGCAAAAAATGGTGGAGTTGGAGCCTAGACTTCTGGACACAGACAAAAGGAGCCAYACGGAGAATGCGATCTAACCGTGGACACTATGTCTGCGTTTGTTTTATTTTTCTTACTCTGATGACTCTGGTTCATATATTACCAGTGACCCAGAAGAAAGTATGGGCAGAAGTCCCAAATGCCTCTGTCTTCTAATACACAGTATGAAACAAAGGTCAAACATATTACGAAATGTCATCATTTTCCAACTTCATATAAAAGTTTACTGTAAATGTCTACTTTTGATGGACAGAATTCCATTTCAATGAAGTTGCCTGATGTCACATGCAATGAATCTCTAAGACAACAAAATGACTTACATAATTCCTTGGAGTTTATACCCAGCAAAAAATGTGACAGAAGCTTCTTGTGTGCGAGGCCCTAAAATGGACTTGACAATGGGCATTGGAAAGCAATACAAGTTTCCATGAGGAAATTAGTATTTGCAGAATTCTTCCCTACAGGGAATACCATTACAGAGTCATATAGACAGACCTCAAGTATTCAGGTGGGAGATAATGAAAATTTGACCATGAGAGTGGAATGCTGGCTTCATAGCTAGTCCAGCCAAATAAATTAAAAAATCAAGATGAAATCAGAAATGCCTCAAACTAACCATATCTAAGACTTAAGTATATGAAATGATGATTATAGACACACCGGTCCAAATATCTTCTACAGTTTCAACATTATCCTATTGCCCCATATGGTGATAGGCAAGGTCACCCCTAAATGAATGCTGGCACTGTCATGCAGCCTCATATTTCTAGTTGATTAGATACATGTGAAGAATTAATGCCAGAAAGATTTCCTAAAATTATCTGAAGGAGTCCAAAGTCTCTTTTTGGAAGCAAAAAGAGTAAACAAATTATAGCGAGGCAGCTTCCATAAGGAGATGAGCAATAGGGCAAACCCATCCCTAGCAGCTGACAACCTAAAGGTCCTCTCTCATTCTGCTGCTAGATGACTCTGGGAAAGTGGCAGTGGACCAGGGATGCAGGAGACCCAGTAGGTACTTTCAGTGCTTTCCTCTGAAAGGCCTGCGGCTCTTACGCATGTAAGTGTCATATCATATCGTAGTTCTGAATCAATCTGCAAAGAGATTGTTCTCAGACTGTTGCCATTTCTACCCTGGGTCCTATTCAGTTCAGTATAATTAGCCATAAATTGTATGAATGTAGAATATCCATCTTGTTGAGATCCAATCTCTGATGTTCTCTCTCCTGACTACAGTATTCCCCTAGAAATCATCTGAAATTTAGCCTTTTTTGCATTTTGGTTTCCACTTTTAATTACTCAGAACCCAAATAAAGAACACTGGATGTGCCAGTATTTCAATGCCAGAAGGCACATGTAAGCAAAGGTCAGTGTTCCTGTTTTAGGTATCCATTCCCTTTGTGCATACTTCTGAAGAAAGTAATTAACACATATTCAAATTTCCTAAATAGTATGAAGGTCAGGTCAGAAGATATAAGGAGAGAAATTGGGAGGCTAGAGCTTTTTTTAAGCTGGACTCCAGGACCTAGAATACTAGTTGATACACCTACTTGAAATAAACATTGTTCAACAAAGAGATGAACAAAGGACTGTTATATGTGTCTTAGTTCAAAATGCTGGTATTATTTCAAATATCAGGTGATGAATGACAGCTGAGACTGCACCCAGAGCTCAAGGGCCCCACCCAGATGCATGCAGAGCCACAAAGGAATGGCCCCCTGCTGCTGCCAGTCTGCTTTAGCTCCCACAGGAGTCCCTCTCCAGGAAGGGAGTGAGGTTTGTTCCCTCCCTGGGGGGAGCCCCACCTGTATCCAATAACCCCTGCCTCTCTTGGACAACTTTAAGTGGCTGTCCCAGATCCAAAGCCCTTGTAGAAATCCTCTATTGCAGCTATGGCAAAGCTCAACTTGCCCCTCTACCCAGTACTAAATTCCTTCCCTGCAGAACCCTAGTTCCCTCTTAGGAAATTCTCACTTATCTCCTGATCCACAAAATTCAGTCTCAGAGTCTGTTTCCCAGTGAACCCAACCTACTTCAAGAACAATGGCCCCCAATTTTTCCAAATGACATATTTCTATCTGTTGCACAGCTATGTGTTAACAAACAATAGAATGTGTAGTAGGAAATATACTGGATTAAGAGAAAAGATAGAGTTTCTTATGAAAATCCTGTCTTGGTAATGTGACCATGATAAGACAATGGTTTTGGTGTCCTTTTGAAAACATATGAGGTCAGTGTATAGAGCAGTCCTTCATAACCATGAAGCACTGAACAAATATGGAAGTGGTGTTTATTATTTATCATTAAACATGATGGCCATGACTCTGTCATGACTGACACTGTCACTCACTTAGTAACATGACCAATGAAAAAGTGATAATTTTATACAGGATCTTAGGAGAAAGCCTTCAAAGAGAGGATAAGGACCATGTGAGCTCAAATCCTGGGGTCGTCAAGCTGGTAAGACAACAACTACATGRACTAGGTTGGTATTAAGCAATAATAATTGGCCTTTATTTTGTGGGTATGTTACAGAAGATAAATCAGCTAAAAAGGAAAAATTCTGGTTTGGGTAAGGACTTAGGGATGCACCTGAAATTGATTACTCTCATTACCTAAGAGTAAGATTTAACAATGAAGAAAGGATCCAATCTCATTATCAACACTTCGGGCTCATTGCCTTGTCTGAGACCTAATATTATGAATTTCTAATACAGTACAGCTCTGGAAGCATACCTTATTTCCTTAGAGACATGGATCATATGTAACAAAGGAATTTTTTTATTAATAATAAGAACATATTTCAGCCTGATATTCCTCTGGCATCAGAGTCCTTTGAAATCAGAAAGACAGAGAGTATAGTCATCAGAATCCAAGACCCCAGGAAGTGACAGGTCAGGCTCCAGGTACTTATGAAAAGCCAGTGAATTCAGTGATCCATTTCTAACGTGCTACCCAGCAATTCTACCTGGGCCTCTCTTTGCTTCTCATTTCAAATGGACAATTTCCAACTTTCTTGTCTCTTCCTGAACACTGGCACCCTCTCTTCCCTGTTTTCAGCTAATAAGCCCATTTCTTATTTTACTAAGGATATTAAAGTCATCAGACTAGGGATTCTGCTTCTCCCTAATTCCAAATACATCAATCCACTCTGTGTGCCTCTCCACTACTCCATTTTCCCTTTCTGTACAACAGGACCTGGCTCCTCCCTCTGCATAACCCTCCTCTGCACACCAGACCCCATCTCACCACCTGCCCAAAGGTACTGCCCCAGAAGCTGTCCTCTTCTGAATCAAGCTCTGCCTCTCTAGTAGATTGATCCTAAAGCAGACCAGATACCCCCATCCAAAAGACCCTTGCCATAATCAAGCTTCTCTTCTTGTCGAAAGATTTTTACAAAGGGTGTCACCAGGATATCAGCAAAAATTTCTGCAGAGAGCATTGTGGTTTGTAGCCTCTCTTTCTTGTAAATGCCAGGTTTGTAGACCAAATGTGTGAAACCTCTGTCTAGCCTAGTAATATGGGACAAAGAGTAACTGTTCCCACCGACTGCCATGGAACCATCCCACTGAGTATAAATATAAAAGAATTTCCAGATTCAAAGTCTAGAGATTTTTAGGTGTTAGCCTCTCTGGACTGCTGCAACCTAAATAAACCTGCTTCCTGCTAATTCCTCGGTGTCTGGCCTCATCTCTCCTATAACAGTCCCATTAGCATACTCACCTGCTAAAATATCTTACAAGCTAGGGGGGAAAAAAAAGAGTCCTCCTTTGATTCTACATTCTTTTCCAGCTACCATGCCATTTTTCTTTCCCATTTTGTAAACAGCTCAAATGAGCAGTCTGTGCTGAGTTACTTCCTTTGCACTCATTTGCACATGGACACACTATTTACTTTCACTTTATTCAATCCACAACCTCTTGTGAGGTTAATAAAAAACACTCTCTACCAAATCCAATTACCAATCTTAACATGTATCCTACTCTCTGGAATATTTGACAGTTATGTTCTTCCTTTTGTGAAATGTTTTTCTCCTCTTGGCTTCCAGTGAATAAGCTCCCGTGCTGTCTTTCTGGCTCACTGGATGCTTCTTATTGGTCCTCTTTGCTGAATTCTCTCCAATTCTCCTACCTCTACTTACCAAGCTGAACAGGTCAAAACCTCAGAGGCAATCTTGAATCCATCTGCATTCAATACAGCTAACCCATAACCTCATCCTACCAGTGCTGCCTCCAAAGTGTATCCAGATACCAACAGCTTCTCTCCATCTCTACTAGTTTAACTTTCTCACTCTGTCACCTCTCACCTGGAATGCGGCCTTCTGTCTGTCGACTTGTTTACACTCTTACAATCTGACGGAGTCAGTTCTCCAATCAGCAGTCAGAAAAAAATCCAGGCCTGTTCCAGTTCTCAAACAGTTCTGACACATTCTCAGCACACTCCCTATGGCCAACAAGCCATCTCTGTGAATTGGCCCTTTCCTACAAACACAAAACCTTTTCYTTCTCCTTTCCACAAGTAACCAAGCTCACCCTCAAGGACCTCCTTTGTGCTCATATATGCTCTTTGCATTCAAATCTCTGCTTAAATGTCACCTCCTCAGATGTCTCTCCTTGATCACTTTTCAAGTGATAGGATCCTATGTCACTYTCCTGTCAGGATGGCACACTCTACTATATTCTATTATGGATTAATTTGTCTCTCTCCCCCACTGAAATATAAATTCTATGAGGGTGATCACTTTTCAGTAAAGAAACAGTACTAGAAATATGGTCAATAAACATTTGTTAAATTTATGACTGGGTGATTCATCTGAGATTGAAGGGAGACCCCAAACCAGAAAATTTTCCTGTAAGTCAGAGAATGATGAATTGAAAGTCAGTTTAAATATAAAAAGGTGAGAGGTACTGGGAATTAAATTAACCAAATTATATGTGTATATACCAATACATAAAAGTATGTGTATATAAAATACCATCACAATGAATTCCACTATTATCTGTAACTATAATGCACCAATTAAAAATTAAATAAAAATGTAAAAAGCATTTGAAATGGTATTATGAATGACTGATATATGCACTTCTACTTATACTCTTAAATATACTTTACATAAGAAAATCAGAAGCACTACTTGGAGGAAACAGAGCACAGTGATTAAGTATTCAGAATGCCAACCCCTTCTAAAATTTTCTTATGTTTCTGTGCCTCACCTGTTTTATAAGTGAACTGGGGATAACAATACTGCCTATCATACAAGGATAAGAGGGAATTAAATTACATGATATGTGTATTAAAGATATGCCCTAGTTTACAACATAGTGCAATATGTGTTCACTAGTATTTTAACTAATATTWTATTTTTAAATAGAATAATAAATAGAGATACAAACAAAAGAAAAGGAAGGACAGTAAAAGAAACAAAGCAAGGAGTCAGTTTGTGAAAATTCAAGTAAATATCAACACACTTGGGGAAGGATGGACCATGACCTGCAGAGGACAAACTGATGTCATTATCTCCCCAGATGGACTTCCAAATGGAATGCCTATTGCCCGCTTCATGAGATAGAGGCCCATGTCTCTGCTCAACAGAGATGTGTGGGTGATGTGSGTGTTGGGGGGAAATATTCCATTTTAGATGAAGCAATCGAGAGAAAAATAATCAGCATTTTTAGCAAATTCAAGAATTTGCACAAAAGCTTTTGCACGATTCTCCAATGCTTACACTCATTATGCACATACTGGAGCTTCAAAAACTTCTCTGAGGGAACAAGTCAGAGGACAAGGTTTAAATCCTACATAATTTCTACAGGGCAAAACATTTATTATAATATGTTCTTTAAAAATATTTAATTCAACCACTGCATTTAGCAGATAAGAAAACTGAAGTCTGAAGAAGACAAATACATGGCTCAAGGTCACATAGCTAATTAGTGGTTAGACTGGATTTGCTCATTCTTGCATGTATGCATTTTATCTTTTACTTTTGCTATTTAAATAATATTTGCTAGGAAAATAGGTAAATGGGAAAAAAGCTCCAGCAAATGGAGACTAATTATGTTTTGCTTTGTTTTTCAACCACTGTTTGTTCACACTAAGAACACAATATATGTGCTCTGAATAAATTATATTGCACTGTGAGATGCTCTGGTTTCATTTTTCAGTTCCCAGCATCTCCCATGGTATCTGTATGTAACTGATGCAGATATGAAGCTGCTGCAAAGTATGAATGCATGAGGATCGAATGGTTCCACCAATTTCACATATTTTTTTTAAAAAATTCAGTTGAAGTCAAATATGGAAACTGGAAGCAATGAATCCTCCAGTGGTCCATCCACTACCACCAAAGGATAGAGAAAGGAAGAGCTAAAAGTAGTGATTCTACAGTAGAGAAATCTTGGAAATACCACCTTAGTCAATCAGGTCAACATGACAGAGACATTATGTAGGCATCAAGTGAGTCCTAATACAATGGGTCAAAAAGGGCACTCTGCCTCTGCAGTTTTCTTTCCAAGAAATCATAACCCTACTGTAATTATGAGTAAGACAACAGACATAGCCATATTTGAGGATATTCTACCAGATACCTGTTTAATACTCCTTAAGACCATCAAGGTGATTGGTGGGGAATCAAAAAAAAAAAAGGAGGAAAGACTGAGAAACTGTCATACTGTCATAGACCAGAGGAGACAGGGAAGAAATGCCAAGTCAATGTAATGTGGTATCCAGGACTGAATCCAGGAATAGACTTAAGGAATGAGAATTTGCAGAGGTCTGGGCATATCAAACATGGACTTAGAGTTTCCATACACCATGTTTTTAAGTGTCTTGTCATCATAGCAGATGTTTATACTAACAATAAAAGCACATTGAATGATTATATACATTTTCTTCCCCGAACCTTTCTTAGTTACAATTGGTCATACATATAAAAGGGTTTCCAATCTGTGAATTCAATATTTCAGTTATTTTCAATCCACAGTAGTTGGATTATAACTGACCATTTAACTCCCCCCCCAAAAAAAAATGAAAGGTAAGATGTTTTTCTTGTGATTATTCTCTGAACAATGCAGTATAATAATTATGTACATAGGTTTTATGTTATTTTAGGTGTTACAAGTAATTTAGAGATGATTAAAAGTATATGGGAGGATGTGCATAGGTTATAAGCAAATAATACTTTATATTTAAGGGGCTTGTATATCCATAGATTTCRGTATCCACAGGGGGTCCTGGAACCAATCTGCTGCTGATACCAAYGAAAACTATATTTATTACTGTTTTCAATTCTGTTTTTGAAAGCAAGAAAGGGAGTTGGAGGGTGTTGCTCCAGTTTGAAGGAGGTCAGCCCTGTGTTAGTCAGCTTTTTGTCACTGATCAAAATACCTGACAAGAACAACTTAGAGGAGGGAAAGTGTACTTTCGGCTCACAGTTTTGGAGATTTATTCCATGGTCAGCTAACTCCATTGCTTTGGGCCCAAAGTAAGACAGAATATCACAGTGGAAGGGTATGGTGGAGGAAAGATGGAGGAAATCTATCAGYTCACAGCATCCAGAAAGTACAGAGAGAGAGAGCGTGCACGAGGAGTCAGGAAGAAAATACAATAACCAAGGACACACCTGCAATTACCTACTTTCTCCAGCTATGCCCCACCTATCTACAATTACCACCCAAAAGTCCATTAAAATTATTAATACAACAAATGGAATAATCCATTGTTTAGTTTATAGTTCTCATAATTTAATGATTTCACCTTTGAACAGTTATGCATAATAATAACACATGATCTTTTGGGGTGACATATATAAACCATAACAAGTCCCTTACACTGATCCTCTCATTATGGACCTGAAGACTGATAGGGGGTGKGACAGTAGAGTTCTTTAACAACTGCAACCATAAAAATCATAGCTGCCACTTTTGGAAAGCAAGGTAATGTGCCAGACTAAGCACCAGGAGTTTCATATACAAGATTATATTTCAGCCTCAGCACTCTATGGGATTGCAATTAYATTCTCATTTTAAAGATGAGAGATTTGATCATCAGAGAAATTAAAGTATTTTGCCAAGGTTGCAACTGAGATCCAAATACAAACATTTATGACTTTTCTACTAAATCACTTATCAAGGAAATTCCATTAGTGAAAATGCCTAAATTGCTATACCTAATTAGAGCGCAATCCTAATATCATTAGTCTCAACCAATAAACTGAGAAAGTATACTATGTGCATCCAGATAATATCCATTATATTGAGAAAAGCATTGCTGAAAAATTATATTTGATACACAATCATCAAATGTTAGCCCCTCTTATCTTTATACACTATATCTGTTTTCTGTTGGCCCCAAATTGATCTTACCTATTTGTGTTTTAGGCTCTAAACTCTTGTGAACTACCATAGCAATTCAAAAATGTACAGTAAATGCCAAAAGTAAAGTTTAATCAGTTTCACAGGATAGTGTTAAATTTTGGCCAGTGTCAAGTTATTCTAGATATAAAAATATATGTCATGCCAATTAATCTCTTTTGAAGACAGAAATAAAATGGATTTTCAAAAACTGATTATTTTTTTGCCTAGACTGTATGGTTACATGCTTTATTAATGATACATTTATGTACTTCATTCAGATGACAGTAGTGATTTTCTGCTGTCATTATTATAGATTTGCTTAAGATTTTAATACCTCCCATTGCAAATATATGTCTATCACTCAATGTAAGTTGCAAAATATTACTAGAGATCCATTATTTTTTACTATTTTCAAAAATTGCAAGCTATTCATTTAGAAGTTTGGAATAAGAAAGAGCATAAGACAGTGTTCTTTATAACTAGAAGCTTCTAAAAATCAATTTAATCAACTTAACATGGCCACTTTCTCTATACCTTCTACCTCTTCAGTTGAATAGACTTTCCCCTCTTACAAATCATAACCATCAACCTGAAGCTTTATAACCAGTGAGGGAGACTCCAGGTGTTTTAAGTAAGTCTAAACTTTATCAACAAGAGCTGAGGGRGGAACTGTGAAGGACACAACCTGTCCATGCTGCTAGTTTTAGGGGGAATGTCCCCAGGTGAGATGGAGCTAAATGGTAGGGGAATGGGAAGTATTTGAAATGGTCTAGTCATCCTTCTCTATGCTAAAATAAGCAGACCAACTAAAGGGGCTGCCATTTTGTTTAATCACTCTGCACTGCAGACAAAAGCAAGGCTTAGTTAGACCATAAACACCCCAGCAAACATCCMAACTTGCAATATGAATGATATGAACAGCCCTTCAGACACCCTAGCAAGAATCTAGTAAATGGTGATGGTAATCACCTCTGTGTGTGCCTGAATAAATGAAAGAACGAAAAAGACTCACTCCCTCTGTTTCTTAAAGCTCAGATCTTTAGAATAATTCCTCTAGTACCCACTTTGGGAGTTTACGTGCCCTTTTGGGTTCCAAAGACTCTGCTGATTTCATTGACCTATATTAATGCCAAGTTCCTTTTCCCAATTTAAGAAGTTTTCTCACATAGAAGTTTGATAACATATGATGAGTAAAGCTCTTGCCAGGAAATGTCATCTTCCTGGAAAAAAACTCAAATCACAATTGCCTCTGGCAACAGTGGACAGATAAYGCCACAGGAAAGATAGGACAGATCCCTGAAACCATAGATAAGCTTCAAATTTCATTTTGGCCCAAAATATCTAAGTATATCCCCACTCCCAASTGAGAACTGACTGTAAGTTGCAAAATATTACTAGAGATCCATTATTTTCTATTATTTTCAAAAATTGCAAACTATTCATTTAGAAGTTTGGAATAAGAAAGATCATAAAACAGTGTTCTTTATAACTAGAAGCTTCTAAAAATCAATTTAATTTATACTGTAGCTATACCTCCCATTGCAAATATATATGGATTCCATTGGATTCTGGTGCAGGTCTGTTATTTACAATCTCTTTACCTTAGAAAATGTAAGATGATGTTAACCAAAGGAAGAAATGCAGTTGCAGAAAATTATCCCTACTTTAGCTCCCACTTTCCTACCAAAGCAGTGGAAGAGAATGGTAGAAGTGAGAGCTGAGAAGAAAATGAAGGTCCGGATGTTTCAGGAAAACACCCCAAAGGGTTGAGGAAGCTGAAGCAGTAGAGAGAATTGAGAAAGTAGAGATTTAACCGGAGAACTCTCTAGCAGATTCTATAACGAGGCCACCAGGGACAAGGGTCCTTGCTCACTGCCAACCCAGGATTGTAGAAGAGCTTGCATCCACCTGAGACTGTCCTTGGATCTCMGGATTTCCATCCACTACCACTCTCTTCAGATCAGAGCCAGAAATCAGAACATGGAAGTCACTGACCCAGGAATGCTTCTCCTACTCCACTCCTTCCCATTTTAACTAGTTCCTCTTCTACACTTCTGGTCAGTCCACATTGGGACACCAATTGGGATTTGGTTAATAATCTTTAATTCTCCATAAAATTCCTTTTTAAWTTTTTTTTTAGTTATTGATAGACATGATACCTTTATTTTATTTGTTTTCATTTTTATGTGGTGCTGGGGAACCCAGTGCCTCATGCATTCTAGGCCAGTGCTCTACCACTGAGCCACAATCCTGGCCCCATAAAACTCCTTTCTTTTTGGAGGCATCCTTGTCTGTTCACCCAGACACTGGTCTTCATCACCATCCTTGATCTTACTATGCTTGACTATTGGCCTCCACAATTAAGAAGGAGTTCAGAATTTTAGAATTTTAAGATAGTGACCAGAATGTAAAAAGTGTCCTATAAATACTGATTGACGAGGGAAATTGACAATGAGCTATGTGTTCAATGAAGTATACAGAAAATATATACATGGAGAATTCATATGTTGACTCAATTTGAGACTTCAGAAACCATGGCACCTTATCCTCCGTGAGTTACTCTATCGACACAGCATTCTGCATCCTGTGAGTTGTTCTTTGACATCACATCAGGGCATGGTAACTAAAAATGACGGATGTGCCTTCATGGCTAACTTTGCCACCCTTGTGTAAGAAGGAGGGAAGTATTTGATAATGCAGGCTCCAGAGAAAGAACCGTGTTGCCTCAAGGGTTTGCAGGTGTTCCTCTGCCATGGTCTTACCTGCTTTCCGCTTCCCTCACTGCAGGCAATGCTGGGACTTAGAGTGGTGAAYGAGCTGGGAGTTCCTGACCTGGCTCCTGGAGCTGAGTGATTGGACTCTAATGCTTTCCTTTCCCAATTCTGTTCTCTCCAGCCCACAGATCATCATTTGGAGTTTGCATGTTACTGCGCTTCCCTAGCCATGGTCTAGTGACTCTGCCCATCAAACCAAAGAGGGTCAAGAAGCTGAAGACAAGCTGATCTTAGGAAACCTACAAGCACCAGCAACTTACAAGCTTCCCGAAGTTTCTCTTTGTCGTAGTGGAATCCTTCATAGTCTTGTAAACTGATTTTGTTCACCCGGATCCTCAGGCGATCTGGGACAGACTGGGGACTGCAAAACAAGAACCGAGTGGTCAGATACAAATGAGAGAGAAGAACTGGGAGTCATGCACCTGGAGGGACTAGGGACAAGGACGTCTCTTCTGGTTTAGAAGAAAAAGTTCACATTCAACCGAGAATTGCAGGTTTAYCAGAAAACAAGTGATTACCTTGAGAATGCCTCTCCAGAAACCTAACATTGCTGCAATTTAGCTAATAACATAAAAACCAGCAGAAAAAAAAGCCCTTTGGAGACCACTTTATATAATATTTGATATTAATTTATTAAAATGCTAAGGAAAATGTGTTTTGTTACATAACAAATTAGATGTGGCTAATTGGAAATAGAAGCAGGGTGTTACTATGAAAAATGAAAGGTGAATAGGTCCACAGTAGTCRAACCTGGTCAGTGGTGGCCTGACCCTCGGAAGAGAGAGAAAAACCAATAAAAAGGACAGAATAAGAATCCAGAAAGCACAGAACTACAATTGAAATAGCTCTCCTGGATTGAATCATCTCTGTAAACACCTGTCACTTAGAGCATGTTACAGTAAGCACTGCCTATGAAGGTACCTCTGAGCTTCCCCCAAATAAAATGTCAATAGGTATAGAGTACTTTCATTGTTTCATTAGGCAGAGAATGAAGTATGTGATTCATCTGGAAGGCATTTAACCCAAGCTGGTTCAGGACACATATTCAACAAAGGGGACAGCACCAAACTTCCTAAAGCTTCCTCTTCACCCTCAGAAAGTTGGTAACTAGATTTCTTGGATGTTTTCTTAAATGACATTTTCAAAGAAGTTTCATCCCAGGCACAAGTTGAGTGAAATAACTTAGTTTTTGTCACCTCCCCTGCAGATCTACAGGTTTCTTTAACACATGAATATAACACAGTCCTGGCTTGTCCTCAGAGACCACCTCATATTTAGATTTCAGCAGCTGAACAAAGAGGATTGCTGCTCGTTTTTATATGAAACAGTGATAAAAGTCACCACTGACCAAACTAGAGAGAATAGCATTACTCTTCAATTCACTTCTGTAGGGGAAGTAAAGGAAGGAAAATAAGAGAAGAAAGGGAAAGAAGGAAGGAAAATGGAAGAATTGAAGGATGGGAAGGAGGGAGGGAAGGAAAGAAAACAATGGCTGGAAGGAAGGAGCTGCTTTAGACCTCAGGACACTGCTCTCGACCCACCTCAAAGACACAGAGACCCATGAGCCCATACCCGTTTAATCTCACTGCAACTCTGGAAGAGGGAGTGAAAAAAAAATTAATCTCATTTTCTTATTTAAAAATTTCATTTCAGGGCAAATAATAGTAATTCATTCCTAGATTTCAATTGTACTAATCTAAAAATAATATACATATCTACATATACATAGGTAGACTATATGTATGTATATTCACATATCCATATACACCTCTCTCCCTATCTTTCACACTCACACACTTAAGACATTTTAAAATATAGATATAAATGCACCTTCTAAAGTGAGACAGCAGGCAGGTTAAAAGGCCTGAGGTTTGCTGKGTTAAAATCAAGCCAATATGAAACCTCAGAGTTGGGCAGTCCTGGGGGAAGGCTGAGATGATGGATTCAGTGGCTGCATCAGTCCATCATTCACAACTTTGTATCGATCTTGCAATGGACACTGAAGAGGACTAAAGAATAAAGCTGACATGAGCATTTAAGAGGTGATGAGAGATCTAGTTTGACAGAATAGTATTTGGTAGCATTGACCTTAAGCATCAGGCATCCCTATATCATTTTACAGATCAGCAAACTGAGGTTCAGAAAGGTAAAGTGATTTTAAGGTCACATAGTTGCTAAGTGAAAGAGCTTGGAACAGGGCCTTATTCTCCCCACATGTCAGCTTCATGCTCTCTCTACTACCCAGTGCTGAGGAACTCCAAGTCAATGGATAGATACCAAAAATCCTATGGATGTGATAGCAAAGCCTTAACATCTGAGTTAGCAGAGTCTGAAGATCTCTGTGGGTTTTAAGACTCTTTTTCATCAATAAACAATAAACAAGGGGATGGCTAAGTACCCACAGTAATTATAATAAGAGAGCATAAGGCAGATATTATAGATGTGTGGAAGGGAAATGAGTTTAGAAGAAAGTCTGCCCATAACATATTGCAAAGTGAAGAACGAGTCCTGGGAAATTATACACGGCATAAGCTCCTGCATGCAAATTATAGAATTTAGGAGTCTGTATATGTAAGAGAAGTGTTTGGAGCARTCTTCAACAAGATGTTCCAAGTGGTTATCTCTATGTGGTGGGACTTGGGGATTATTTTGCATMGAGGATCATCATATTTAGTGAAATAACATGTCATTTGAAAAGTTATGTCAATTTGTAAATAAATGATAACTCTGGATAAGAGTAAAAATAAGGATTTCAGCAAAGAGAATTAGCTGTACAAAGACAGGAAAGAATTTAAGCATTTAGGAGATGACCATACTAAATGCTTGTCCCCAAATTAAGGGGGTCTAATCTTTCTTTAATTTCCAGGTTCACCTAAGTGATCTATAAAGGTTGCAATTAGCAAATACTTTGCTATGAWCATAACAGTTAAGAAGGAAGGTAGAACCATGAAACATGATGGTCCTTCATATCCTGTAATGGGGTCTGGGGGTGCAGGAGTTGAATGAGCTCTCCTTAACCATTCTTTTGAGATAACAGTGGACCTAATGGCACAGAGCTCCAGTCTTCTTCAGTGGGARGGAGGCACCAAAACTAGGACCTTGTTATAGCCCAGATGCCAAGTGGGAAAAAGAATTCAGAGAAGGAGCCAGTCCCCTGGTCCCCACATCCATGAGCTCCCCTGACGTTGAGCTCACCAGTTGTACCACTYTTTTCAAAATCCATCAGTGTCTGCTCCTTGTCCATCTCCCAGGTTCTCATCGATGCCCTCTGATGCCAACCTACACAGTGCTTCTTCCTGAATCACTGGGCTCCCACCAAACTTCCTGACTTCCAGGGGTCACACCATGGACAGACAACAGGAGGTATCATTTAAATAGATCCAAAATTAATCCATGTACTATTTCACTTCATCTCCAGAATGACTAGCTAAGCCAGACAGACTAGCCACCACATAATATCCTCACCCACCCAACCTCCTCTTGCTTCCAGCTCTCATCTTCTCTCAACAACCTACACATCCAGTTTTCCTACCACTAGCAACTTTCTTAAACCCTGTATTGTAAGTGAACTAATGTTTTGCTTCCTACAAACTTTGCCACAGTTGAGCCCCGACAACACATTTTGGAGCTTTGGACCATAAAGTCTGTGATGGAAACCCCTTTGAATTTTTCTTTACCTGCTGTAAACCATAGATAAATGAGGCAATACCAGAAACAGGTTAAGAACTTGACTCCAAATCAGATTGGCTGGATTGAAGTGAAGTTCTTCTAATCACTGGTCAATCAGAAAACTATTCTTTCACTTCCTCGTAAGTAAGATTCAGATAACAGCATGCACCTCACAGGGACACAGGGAGAATTAAATGAGTCAGTACATGTAATCTGCTTTGAAAAAGTGCTGTCAGGTTGTAAGTGCCAAATGATATCATTTTAGTAATTATTCTGAAAATTCTCTCCTAGATAAGGCTCACCTAACACTAGCATCTGCTGCTGTCCAATATTGGAAGAAGTTTAGAATGTATCCAGAACCCTCCCTAGACATTTCATTTCTGACAAGGTTCTGGGGGAAACTGTCAAGCTTGGCTGATGTCGTGACATTTCACATGCCTGGATCTTCTCCCACCTGGTATTTTACAAAGCCAACTAATAACACAAAAGCAGACAGCTTGAAGGAGGAGGAGAGAAAGTGTACCGAGATTAAATGAAATCCAAGGAATGCAATTTTGTCCCCTTATGTCAAAATGCATTTGTTCCCCATTAATGGCTGGTTGAAGGAGGATGACAATGTTGTCCCTCGGAGTCTGGAGAAGAGAACTGCCATTAGTTTTCTAAAATTACACTTTGCCAAGGAAGTTAGTAAAGCACAGAGGAGACTTAACCATGAGAGCAAATATAACCTTGCCTCCCTGCGAACAGCTACCACACGGTGCTCCCAGACCGACCCAGGCACCACTTCAAGGGTTCTAAACCTGACCTCCATGGGACCACTCAAGTTTCCTCTAAGGAATTCATCAGTCTGTGAACTCTCCTTCATATTGGGGTAGTGACCACAACCTGTTGCCTTCTCACTAATTTCCTGGGCAACCTTATGGCTCTGCTCCTCGTGCAGAGTGGGACTTCCTGACTCTAAATGAACTCCCAGTTGTTCCCCTCGACCACTTTCTTGAGAGCCATATTAAGATCTCCTCTCATTCAGTCACTCACATGGGCTCACAACACCCTCAAACACAGCTTCCCCTAATCACATTTTGCACACCTGCCACCCAGGGTGTTGGAGGGGAGGTGGACTGCCATGCCATTGTGACAAGCCTGGAACACTCACTGACATTCAATTTGCACCTGACTCTTGCTCCCCCCTGCTCCCCCTTTTCCAGAGATGCCGTTGCAATAAGCTCTGTTTTTTTTTCTTTTTATTGTCCCTATGTAAAATTTCAGCCCATTAGAGTCAAGTCTTCCCTTATGCTCTGAGATCTCTTCCTCCTCAAATTAATTTCTTTAGTACACAGTTTCTCTCAGCCTCACACAAGACTCCTCTCACCCAAACTCCTGCCTGGAGTAATCATCCGAATGAGCTGGGTGCTTTGGTGTCCCAAGATCGCTTTAATGCCACCGACACCACAGGATCTTCTCGATGAAAACCGGTCACCTGGGAGAGGTCTCATTGGTTTTTTCAATTAGAAGAGATTGTGTGGTGACAATGACTGTCATCAAAGATTGATCATGTGATKTCAATGATTGATTAAGACCACAGAGCTCAGTGAGGAAAGCAAGACGTATCGTAAAAGAAATCTTAGGCACAACCGGAACTCCATGGATTTACGCTTGATCTTGAGAACTCTAAAGCTACCTGCTTTAAGCCAT